CACCCCACCCTGAGTTGTGACAACCAAAAGTATTTGCAGACATTGTCAAGTATTCCCTAGGAGAGCAAATTTGCCCCTGCCATCCTGGAGTAAAATCAGCCACTGAACCTGGTGGAATCATTTGGTCTTCATAGGACCAAGTCTAAGTTTTGCTCAGCATCAATTATTAGCCTTTTAAAAGAGTAGTTTGAATGCCTGATCATAAGATCTTGTTATCTGTGTTTGTTGGTACACAGATAAATAAGACCTGGCTACAGTCATTCAGTAAACCCACATGCCGCCAATTTTCTAATTTCCTTCTAAAACAAGCTATGACCTCTTTTAACAATTGCAGAAATCAAAATATCACCCAGGCCCAGGTATCACCCAGAAACTCAAGTTGATCACCCAGATTTGTGTTGAGGGACTTTATACCCAATTGTTCTAAACAAACGACCTGGAGAAACAGACTCAGAACGAGAAAGCCTGCCTTAGGCTGTTTGAGTGGAGTGAGCCCTACTTCCTAGCACTGAGAGCAATCAACCCCATTTTCCAGTGTAGAAGCTGGATGGAGGCCTTGTTAGTCACAGTGTTTAGGATAAACTGTTGAAAGAGGCCTTGCAGATTGAAAAGGGAGATAGATAACTCTAAGTTTGTAAAGGACCCCACTGAGCTTTGAAATGATTTGCATAATTAAATATGCAAAAAGTCTTTATTTTTTCCCTTTTTCAGGACTTTGCAAAGAGCATGGCAGTCATGTGTTCTGCTGGGCTTAAGATTACCTAGTTAGGAAGATGGTGTGGTTTAAGAGAAAGACTAACAGTTGAGTCCAATAAACTTGGAATGTGAAATCGTCAGCTATTACTAGTTCTACCGTAAAGCAAGTTAATTATTTCTCTGAGCCTGCTTCTTCATCTAAACAATGAATTGTTGTGAGGAAACAATGAGAAAACACGTGAAGCCTCTGGTGCAATGCCAGATATATTGGAGGCTACCATTATCATGATCACAGTTCAGCGATATTAGACCACAGGAGTGTCATGCAATGTAGGCACTCAATACATTTCTCTCAAATGGATGAATAAAGAACATAAGTTTGCCCTGAGCAAAGAACATTCCTTGAAATGTATCCATACCACATTTTTCAAAATTTAGTAATGCTATGTACGCTCTTCCCATCCCCAACCACTTAAACACGTAGGCAATTCATAACAATTCTTGTGTTGCCAGAATGGCAACCATTTTCTTTTTTAATTTAGGAGATTCTTTCATTCCTCTGTAGCAGTGTTTTCTGAAAGGAAACACCTGCATAGCACAGAGCCCAGTGTGTGCTGAGCACTCAGCATTCAGTAAGTGCTCAGAAAGAGTCAGTGGAAAAATGGATGGACTTTTTAAAACAAGATTCCTTTTTTTTTTTCTTTTTGAGATGAAGTCTCGTTCTGTTGCCCAGGCTGGAGTACAATGGCAAGATCTCAGCTCACTACAACCTCTGGCTCCTGGGCTCAAGCGATCCTCCTGTCTCAGCTTTCTGAGTAGCTGGGACTACAGGCACGTGCCACCATGCCCGGCTAATTTTTTTGTATTTTTTAGTGGAGATAGGGTTTCACCATGTTAGCTAGGATGATCTTGATCTTCTGACCTCGTGGTCCACCCACCTTGGCCTCCCAAAGTGCTGGGATTACAGATGTGAGCCACCGTGCCCAGCCTTTTTCTTTCTTTCTTTTCTTTCTTTTTTTTTTTTTTTTGACAGGATCTCACTCTGTTGCCCAGGCTGGAGTGCAACGGCACCATCTCGGTTCACTGCTGCCTTGACCTCCCGGGCTCCAGCAATCTTTCCCCCTTAACCCCCAAAATAGCTGGGACTGGCAGGCATGCACCACCACACTCAGCTAATTTTTTCTATTTTTTTGTGGAGTTGGGATTTCCCATGTTGGCCAGACTGGTCTCAATCGAAATCCTACCCTCAAGTAATCTGCCCACCTCAGCCTCCCAAAGTGCTGGATTACAGGCATAAGCCACCATGCCTGGCCTAAAATAAGATTCTTTACAATGAAATGGAGATTATATTAAATACATGCTTTTATTCCAAGCTGTTAACCCATGGGTCCTTGAGGTACTTTTAGGAGGCAGCAGGGGTGAGCTGACCACCAGTGATGAACAGAGGCCTCCAAATAGCCAGTGACCTAGTTAGTCACCTTCAAGGGTGACTGAACTCACAGATTTGTCGGTTCTTGAGCAGCTGCATAAAGATGTCTTCTAAGAGGAAAATGAAGTTAAGTGTCCCTTCAGTTCCCAGATCCTCCAAATGTTCTCTGCTGCTGTTTCCCCAGCAGAAACTCTTCCTGCCATGTCCTTTCTCGCTGATGTTCATTTTCTGACTCTCCCTCCCACAGGGATCGCCAGTGGAAGTTCATAATGTGCCGGATGACTGATTACGACTGTGAATTTGCAAATGCTTAGATTTGCCACATACCAAGTCTGGGTGAAAGGAAAGGGGCCAGGAGACCGGAGGGTGTCCACATACGTTAACATCAGTTGGATCTCCTATAGCTGTTTCTGCTGCTCTCTTTCCTTCTCCCTGAGCTGGTAGCTGCAATGCCAGCTTCCTGGGCCTTTCTGACTAGTATCACACTTATAATAAAACCCACAATTAAATCATGTTTCTCACTTTTCACATGTTCCATAGCAACTGCTTTATATGACTGACAATGGCTTCCTTGCATACCACATAGACAGTATGCATGCTTACAGCCAGGCTTCTGGAGCACCTGCTGCAGCCAGGCTAGCACTTTTACTGCAGAATGAGCTGCAGATTCAGCATAGTGAAGGGCAGAGGCAGAGCTGGAGGAGAGGTGCAGTGAAAGTTCTCTACTGCTATGCTTGCTTGAATGATACGTAGGGTCCTCACCAAAAGCAGGCTTTCTGCCCTGAGGGACATCTTCCCATTCCCCTGCTCCATATGAGCCATGCATGCTTAGAAGTTCAAGTGCAGAGCTCTTTGCTGCAGGAATGGGGAGACTGGAAAGTGAAATGGGAAGGTGGAAGGGTTTGGCGGCAGAGCTGAAAACAGGGTTGGAAGGATTTCCTGAATTAGAAGACAAATGTTAGTATACCCACTAATGAAAATGAGTGCAGAGGCCAGGGCAACCTGTGAGGATCAATCTCAACTAAGATAAAAACAAGAAAGCAGAGAAAGGTCAGAGAATGGGACTCAGATTGGGAACTTGTGAGGATGAGAGTGGCCAGGTTGAACTGGGAAGTGGAAAAAGGAGTTTGAGTCACTGGCACCTAGAGGCATGCCCAGGGTTCCTAGGAAGGCTGGCAGACACCCTGGAATGCTGGGGAGCTACTGGCAAACTCTCCTGGATTGGGCCTGATGTTCTTGGTAGGAAAGGCTGCCTGGGGATCCACTTTCCTTCTGTGCTGGCTCAGGAGTTCTTCTGCAGAGATGGCGCCGTCTTTCCTCCTCCTGCGATGTCTCTGCTCCCGACCCTTTGTACTCTTTATTACGAAAGAAATAAAAATATTAACATTCACTGTGCTGAAAATATTCAGGGTCAATTTTTGCTCTCTACTCCCTCCCTTTCTGATTATTTATCCATTCATTCTGAAAACACTGGTTAGCATTGTGGTTTGTGCCAAGAACCATGCAAGGCCCCAAGAATACAATGATGACAATGACAAGTGTGGGAATCAGATAATTAAAACATAAAGTGCTAAATGCTTTACCTAAGATTAAACAAAGGAAGGAATCACATTTCTTGGACTTTGAGTTCAACCTGATATTTTCTCAGCATCCTTCAACCTTCCTCATCCCAAGAAGTCACATGAATTTTTAACCACAGGAAGCCCCTCTTTTTATCCACAAAGCAGTTTGCCTTTTTTTTTTTTTTTTCTGATCCACGCTTCTCTTCCCTTATCCTCTCTCCCAGTGGACCGAGAAGATAAACCAGCCAGGCAAAACCACAGGGGTCCCCTACCCTGCCATACACCTTATCTAGGTGGTCAAGATGGTGTCTCTCAGGCAATGGTGATAGTGTTTCCCACTGCAGGATCCCAGCATTGTGATGGGGAAGGCAGGGCTAAGGATATCTTTTCCTGCCTTAACTCTAGAACACTCTTTCATATTAGAGTTTTATTTCCTCCATGTCATTGTTTCTGCCTCTCTGGCAATTTTAATTTATAATAAGAAGCTCCAGTGTTATTTTTCACAAGGGGAGCCATTAATATTTTAGCGATTGCAGCCTGGTTCAGGATGGCAACCAGGAAATGGCCTTAGTTGGGTGTGTGGAGCACAGCAGGAAAGGAGGCAAGCAATGTTGATTGGCTGACTTGGCATCCATGAAGAAAACAAAAGGCTGGTGAGAGGATGGGGAGATGGGCGGGTGCAGAGAGCACGGCTGGGGGTGGTTAGGCTGCAGCTGGGAGAAGCCGGGAGACTACAGGAGAACGTAAGTCAAGAAAAACAACAACAACAACTTTAAAGCAATTCAATAAGAAGTGCCTGTGCCAAACAGAATAAAAGGAGTTTTTACTAAAAAGAAAACTATTCTTTTCATATAGATAGTCTAAGGACAATGACAGGAAAGACATTGTCAACTTGGTTTGAATTTGAATAATTATCCTTTATATTATAGGTCATTCGGGAAGAACTAAGTGTCAGAGTGAGGACTAAATTCCAGATCTGGTAACTGCAAGTTTTGTTCTCTGTTCTTTCATTGCTCTAATCTTTCTACTAACTTGCTCCACAGTTGTGGATAAATCACCTCTCCTTTCTAGGCCTGCTGTTTCAAACGAGGACATTTACCTAGGTAACCATTGTGGTTTCTTGCAATTCTAAGCATCTCTAAACTCTATCACCTCCTGAATTGTTTGTAAAGGGATTTTCCAAGGCATTTTCTTCCAGGAAAGGAGCCTGGAACTAGAGATGATAACCTGGGGCCTACTGCTGGCTCCAACAGAGGGTGGCTGTGTAAGATAGACAAATCCCCAAGCTTCCTTTCCCTCATCTGCCCAGCACAGGTAGGAATCCCTTTCCAAACAACTTTACAAGATGCTGGCCACATACAATGAGATGACAGAAGGAAGAGAGACACTATTCCTGCCTCACAAGGCCTTCAGTCTAATGGTGAGATGAGAAGATAGACAATGACAATGACTGCAAGAAAGTTTCCTGAGGAAGCTGAGTCTATGCTTAGCCCTGAAGGACAAGCAGGACTTCTGAGGTGAGTGGAAAAGACTGTGGGCTCTGACATCAGACTTCCTGGGCAAAAATCATGGTCCTGTCACTTTCCAGCTTTATGACCTTGGCCAAGTCATCTGTCTTTCCTGAGACTCTGTTTCCTTACCTGTAGACATAATCATAGTACTTACATCACAAGGTTACTGTAAGAATTAAATGGATCACATAGTGTCTTGCACATAATAAGTACCCAATATATGTAGTCAGAGAAGAAAACAGTGTTAGTATATATTAAAAATAAAATTCCTCAGGTAAGCTGGATTTTAGTCGAGGTCAATAATAGGAAACATTTATTAAACAAGTGGGACATAAGTTTGCTTCAGTAACTGAATCAATATATTATGAAGTGTTTATTATATACCAACTGTTTTACTAGGCACGGTTCCTGCATTCTGGAGAATTATAAACTAGAAGAGTTAGACAAGCAAACAAACCATAACAGTACAGTTTGACAAGTCAAGGGCACGCGGCATTTCAATAGAAGGCAGTGAAAAGTCAGGATAGGAAAGGGAATGGCGACATTTAAGGCAATGGAAACGATATGATGGAAGGCATAAAATAAGGCATGGGTTTGAGAAGGGTTCTCCAGGAAATACCGACCTTACCAAGGGGGTCTGGGAGGTCCAACATGCAGTGTAGTGCCCTAAAGAGAGATTGGTCACTCACATCAGTACCATAAGACATTCTACTATTTGTGCATGTTACTTGTAATTTATTTTATCTACCTGGACCTCAGATGGCCTGGAGAAGTTCTCTGTCCAGCCTGGCCCTTCATCTATACGTATGTCTTCATGCTTGACTGCTTTAACCCAGACAAGGAACTCAACACTTTTGCAAGTTCCTTCAGAAAAATTTATTCTCACAAAAGTGTTAGTCCTCACAAAAGCTTAAACAGATCTGATATTCAGTCCCCATAAACTCAAAAACAACGACAACAAATTCCACACATTTCTGTCTTTAAAAATGTTCTTTTTCACCAGAAAATCAAGGATTTATGTCTCTCTAGCTGGTCCCCCAGCTAGCTCCAAGCCTACTTGGCTCTTCTCAATCAGAGAAAATGTTTCTCAATATAGTCCATGGCTAAACAGTTGTTCACATCATGGTGGCCAACAGAACAGAGACCACATAGTCAATGGCATCCACTGCCCTTTTAAAGTCTCAATGAGTTTTAATTAAACCACTTCTGTTTAATAGAACCACATTATTAAGGAGTGGTATCTGAACCTGGTTATCAACCTGGGATCCAGAATTGGTGAAGCTGGATAAGGAGAACCCTTAATAAAATGTTGCCTGGACCCTACTTGGGTGTAGCATCCCTTTCCTATTAACTTATTGAATTTCTGTTATTAAATGTATTCCTTTATAAAGCAAGAATTTTTAAAAACTACCTCAAAATTTATTGTAAGAAATAATAGTAACATATTCATGCATATATCAGATTTTCATGGGGCTTACAATTTTTCATAGAATAAAATATTCCCAAAAACTGGAACAAATCGAATGTCCTTATTAATTTTTAAACCTATTCATTAGATGGCACTGTGTCTTGCTAAGCACTCGAATCTACCATTGTGTGACCTTCTTCTTCCTCTCACACTAATGCAGGCTTATTTATCCATAAGGAGCCCGGTTATAAATGTGAATGAATAACTGCCTGCATCAGTGAAAAATGCTCAATAGAAATATTCCAAAATGCAAATTATAATTGTCTCTGAATTGTAGCATTATTGTTTATTCCTTTGTTCTTCTTTATATTTTCTGCCTTCCCTAACTTACAAAAACAAATATCATTGATCATATTTATAATAATAAAGAAAAGTAATTCTAATCTTATACACAAAAAAAGTCACTGGCTGCCAGGCAGTTCAGTCCTAGGATGACGTTTCAGCTGAAAGATGACCATATGGTTACTTCATGGAAAGAAAGAGATTATGAATCCAGGCCCTTTCATCTAACCGGCCGCCTAATGGGTTATAATTTAATATGCAGAGTTACCTGCTCTTTCCAACGTCTCCAACCATCCCCAGAGACAATGGAACAGATGTGCAGCCCGTCATATGGCCAATGTGAAACTAACATTTACAGCAGTAGCTGGAAATCTCCCCACGTCTTTCACTCACAGGGGTCCTAATTCAGGATCAAGTATAAATTCAGCCTCCCCACGAAACTTCCCTGAGCCTTCCTAGGCTGGGGCTCTTCGCTCCCTCCCTCAGCATTCTGTATCTTTATCTCCATTTCCCTGAGGACAGGAGTCTTATCTGTCTTTGTTCATTCACAGATTTCCCATGCCCAGCTAGGTGTTTTACACATAATGGGTATCCAAGACATGTGTTCTTAAACTAATCTGGATGCCTGGTGGGTTTCAATATATCTATCAACACTCTAAGCAATCAATAACTAAAAAAATACTTTGATAATTATGAAGTTCTGTTAAGAGGCAAGGTATTATGATGGTACTGTGGTTCTGATGGGGGTTAACACCATTACTCTCTTTATTCAGCATCATTAGGTAATCATTAATTTCATCCCTTTAAGCGTTATTCACTAATGATAAGTGAGTTGGAAAGTATAACAGACAATCACAATGATCACTTAAACATTCAGAAAGTATATTTTACCATCCTAGGTAACATGAAAATTTTGGTATTTTTATGAACTATGAATTGTATCAATAGCAACATGTGAGCAGCTAGCACAGTACTAGGCACTTGGCGGACATGAGAGAAAGACTCACTGAATAATTCGTTGGGAGACTGGGGTACCAAAAGGCAAAGGGGCTCAGGTTGGTAAAATAGTGTAAGCCTGTGTAAATTTGGATGCTGTTTTTAAGTCTTATATAAGCATATGAGTTCTAGGGGTGGGGTGGACAGGGATTTTTGTCTGATATATCCCCTAAACCTAGAATAGGGATTGACACATGGTAGGAATTTAACAAATATTTGATGAAAATATAAAAGTAGAGCCCTAAGACAGACCCTAATGCAGATTATGACTTCATGAACATAGATCTTAAAGCCCTTTCTTTTTCTTGTTACTCCCACTTAAAGTTTACCTGTGGGATTAGCTTGCGATTAGCTGGACCAAGACAGTGAAGCCAGTTTCTCAGAATTAGGTATATGGCTGGCCAGCAGGCATTCATAGACCCTGCTAGTGTCTGGAATCTTCCTTCTCTGTGTCTGGTAGATTTCAGCTGTCCTGGGTGTCTCTGTGGGCCTCTTTGGTTGGCAGACTCAAAGGTGAGCTCATTCACCATTACTCTCATGGAAACATGTTCTGGGAAATCAAACATGCTCTGAGTCACGTCTGTCTGCCGCCTACCACGATAGTGTAGCATGCAGAGTGGTTCTGCCAATAGGCTTCTGGGAAGAAGGAATGGAAAATGTGTCATGGTATGAAACGGCACAGCTCAACTTGGAGGAGGGCTTCAGTCCACAGAAATTCACAGAGTGAAGGTAGGCTCTTAGTTCTCTCCATGAATAGGTGAGCCTCGAGAAAATTCCCAGGTCCCTGCAGAGGAGCAGAAAAAACGGAAAGAGGTAGAGAAGTGGATTGTGTTGGGCAGGGAAGCTATACTCAGCGCTTTCCAGAATGGCACTTTGTTGTGTTCTAAATGAATCATATCACTTGACTACGCTTTTGTACACATAATGTTGACCACTACTTCAACAAGGTGCCGTTAATCACCTGCTTTGTTCCTGGCACAAACTGAAGAAAATCAAGAAGCATAAAACACATGCCTTTCCTCAGAGAGATATTTTGTTCTAGAGTGGGAGACAAGAACAAAAAACTACAAAGTTTAATGAATAAAAGAAGGCTGCATACAATCACACACCCAGTGAGTGATACACACAGAAAGTCTTATGCTATTGTGGAGAGCAAAGGAACACTATTGGCTGAAGAAACAGAAGGCATTAGGACAGGTAGAAGATGAAGAAGATTTATGCCAGCAGCAGAGACTGCCTGAGCATCCCTGTGGAAGTGAGGAGCCTCCTCAAGAAGCCAAGAAAAACCTGGGGCTCCTGAATCCAATTCTCGGACCGGAGCCCAGTGAGGTAAATGACTTGCCCAAGGACAACTTATGAGTAAATGCTGGAGACACTTAGAATTCAAGCCTCTGGGATCTGAGCACAGTGATATCCTCTGTCAGGTTCCTGTCCAGTGAGTGGTTTAGTGAGGCGAAGGGAGTGGGAGAGAACATGCATTGCAGGCTCTTGTACTCCATGCTCAAACAGGCTTTCCCATTGACTACCTGCAGATACCCTAAACAGGCATAGTTACTGCCATTTTACAGATAGCCTCAAAGGTCCCCAAAATAGTAGGTGACTTGCCCAAGGTCACACAGCTAGTGAAAGTGGGTGTTGAACTGAAGTCTAGCTGTCTACAAAGCCCAGTCATCTCTGCTAAGTCACCTTGGAGTCAAAGGTTTCCATTGGGATGAAGGAGAGATAACTGTCTTAAACCCTGCTTTTTGAATAACGTACAATATGAAATAGTTGAATAATGTCCAATATGAAAAAAAGATTCAAATGTTTATTCTAGTATTTTAAACATTGCCTCTGAAGGGAGAGATGGCATTGTAAGTTGGTCTGGAGAATGTTGTTGGAAGTCTAGAAAGCCAGATGAGTTCTCTGAAAACAATAATGTTGCTAATCGACTTTTTTATATTAATGTAGACATTACCCATCATAATAAAATCAGACACAGGTTCAACATCTCCTGGAGTGACAATAATTCTTGCCTGCCTTCTAAAATAACTCCTAAATAACAAACCCTCCATAAACTCAATCTAACCCAAATAAGCACAATTGCTCTGACAACTGAGATTATCATTGCCTTTGTTTGATCCTTCAGCCTCCACAATTGTGTAGGCTCTCCACACCAAGTTATGGCCTTGTTTATCTTTGCTGTGTGTGCTCTGGGCAGCTTTCTGCCTAGAGAATTAGCACACTGAATATGTGCCACTGTTCTCTTCAATTGATTAAA